GGATCGGAACCGACTCGATGGCACTTAACAACAACAACAACATTGAATTAAAGCTGCTTATCAACGAGGAGACCACACAATATGAGGCTGAACGGGGCAGTCAAAGAATGGGAAGCCAGGGGGAGATGTAACTATGGGAAACATGGGCAGAGATACATTGGGCAAGCTCTGAAGACAGATGAAGGGGGCTAGGAGCCAAGAAAGGTAGGTAGTCTCTGTGAGCTCACAAAGGAAGAAAACAAGATTTTTCCCCTAAAGCTTCTAAAAATGAACACAGCCCTGCTGACACCCTAACTGTAGTCCAGTGATACCTGTATCAGACTTCTGACTCACAGAACGATAAAATCATAAATCTATGTTGTTTTAAGTCACTAAGCTTGGGGTCATGTGTTACAGCAATAATAAGAAGCGAATGCAACCAGAAGAACGTGAAACCAAAAATGAAACTCACTGCCATCGAGTCAACTCCTCCTCACAGCGACCCTACAGGGCAGAGTGGAACTGTTCCTAGGCTTTCTAAGGCCAGAATCTTTATGGAAGCAGACAGCCTCAACTTCCTCCTGCAGAGCGATCTTCAAACTGCTGACTTTGCAGTTAGCAGACCAGTGATTAACCTACTGAGCCACGTTGGCATGACAGTAAGTGTGAATGAGTTCACCATCATGTAGATGTTATTAGCAAAGCAATCCAGAAATTAAATCCAAACGTGGGAAAACTCAATTCTGGATTCAGACTTGTGGTAGAGATAAAAAAACAGGAAGATAACACCAACAAAATAAGCCACAATCTTAAAAGCATTCAAAGTAAACCTTAATTAAGTACCAATTATCTCAATGTGCAACAACTATGAATGAATATAACTGCCACCCTCTTTGCGTCACACAAACTTTGTAACATTTTCTTTAAATGATAAATCATTATTAAGTGCCATCAAATCTGTTCTGACCCTTAGTGACTCTTCTGTATAGGGTTTTCAAGGAGCGGTTGGTGGGTTTTTACAGCAGACCATGTGGCTAGCGGTCAGTGCTTACCCTCCAGCACTATACCAGGACTCCAAATTATCAATTAAACGTATCTTAAAATCTGTTATTTTAAGAGTGCTTTGTTAAAGTGCAAATTGTAAGGTGTGAAGTTACCTTCTCAGCAGTTTTAAAATACTGTTTTACAAGGTCTTCCACCCTTAGAGTTGTGCCCTCTGAAGGTTTTGTGACAAGTTTCCCAAAGTTGATCTCTTCTCCTAGAAAAACAGAAGCCCACAGCAAACATTAGAATGATAAGAAATCACTGTGGACTGTTGCAGTAGAGGAGAGAAGGCACAGCTGTATCCGTGACTTACGGGGCTAACAAGACTAATTTTGAGGCAAAAGTCAGTCAGTTTTGCTGTCACTGTCGGTATTTCTTATTCATACCTCCAAGTAACATGTCTATCCCAGCTGCTGTCAAAGTGTAGTCTACAGACCTGTGGGGTCATCACCCTTCCACCGAGTCTGTGAAGCCAAACCTACTTTCCTAATTATACTTAAAGGCATTGTTTGCCTTCCCTCTGTATTAAAGTTTGCACTGAAGAGACAAACGCAGTAACGAGCAAAAGTGCTTGCACTTGGGGATGAATGAAAGCAGTGGTGCCAAGCTCAACTAGTTGTTACCACAACACACTCATATTTAAAACAAAACAAAGGTTTCACTGAAGAATAGTCTTGGTAAGTGTTGTTGTTAAGGGCGTTTGAATTAGTTCTGACTCATAGCAACCCTGTGTAGTCCTGGTGTGGCGCTGTAGGATATGCAGTCGACCATAAAGTCAGTTTGAACTATTAACCCTGTGGTTCAAACTCACTAGCCGCTCCTGCGAAACTCTATACAAGGTCGCTAAGTCAGAACCAACTCAACAGCACTTAAAAACATACATATATGGAGCCTGGACCCCAAGGCCAGTTGGTCAGTTCAGACTCAACAGCTGATCCTTGGAAACCCTAATCAAGGTTGCTATGAGTTGGAACCGACTTGACACTTAACTAAAACTATAGGGTTTCAGAGGTTGTAAATCTTTGCAGGAGCAGAAAGCCTCATCTTTCTCCCTCTGAGCAGCTGGTGGGCTCGAAACACTGAACATATAGTTCACAGTCCCGTGCTTATCCTACAGAGCCACTACTCTCCCTTGATAATAGTAAAGGTGATTCATCAAATGTCAAAGACTGAGCATGTATCTTTCTAATATTCTATGAGACAAGTAAGAAGTATGCATAAATCTCGTATGCTGTGTTTGTAAATGGGATGGTTGTCCAAAACAAAAGCATTTTACAGCCATTTGAACTCTAAACAGTTTTTTAAGGAACGCCATTTTTGCTTGAGAAAAACAAAACACCTGCTAGCTGCAGTTCAAACCCAAATACACCAGGTGCTCCTTGGAAATCCTATAAGGTCACTATAAGTCGGAACAACTCGAAGGCACTTAACAACAAAGACACATTGTAGTCATTACACATGGGTAACTTGGGTCACTTCCAGGAAAACAACAGACCCTATTCCCTGCCAATGATAAACTTAAAGCTCTCAAACACAATGAGAATTTTGGCAAATTTCTATCTGCTAAGAGCTTGACCAAAGCTTTTTATCTTCTAAAGAGGGTCCTGATGAGGTTGACTGTAATACTCCTAAGTGTAATCTTTTGATCTTATATAATCAACAGTTAGACCAAGGCTGGCAAAACTCAGTAAACCACTATTTAACAAAAGACCTACGCTATGTTGTAAACTCCTGCATGGATAAGGTCTGTTTTAAGTAAAAGAGCAACTGACAAATTTTAATATAAGTGTATATGGTAGAGATTCCTCACTGCAATTCACCTTTCATCAAGTTTTATTATCATATTAAAGAGAATTCACAATTATCTATGTTGTTCTCATTGTTAAGTGTCAACAAGTAGGTTCCGACTCAAACCTGTATAGGGTTTCTGAGGAGCAGCTGGTGAGCTTGAACCACCAACCTTGCGGTTCAGACTGACTTTGCAGTCCAGCAAAGTCAGTTGCATTAACCCACAGAGCAACACCAGGACTCCATGACACCTATAAAAGCTGCTAAAAGAATCCTCTTTTTTCTACCTGGAGTGCCTGGGTGGTACCCTAAACGTTGGGGATCTAAATACTCCCAGACACATTGGAAGACAGGCCTGGTAATCTACTTCCCAAAAATCAATCACTTAAAACTTTATGGAGCATAGTTCTACTGACACACGTGGGGTTTATCATGAATCATAATCAACTTGACAACTGGCTTTTCTACCTACCATATCTCTGTGATAGAAGATTTACTTCATTATTCCAACAACAATGTATCACCAGGTACCCCCCGGCCCACACACACAGGTGGCTTTCCTGACAGTTTTTTTTTTTTTTTACGTTTCTATTGTGAATTGAGTGATAGTTTACATGGGAGAATATCGGTTTTACACTCATCGTTTCATTGCAATGATTACAATCTCCTTCATGCTTCATCATTCAATGGGGGTGGGGGAATGTACACAAAAACACTCAGGAATATATCATTAAACAACCAAAGGGCACAATCTGCAAGCCTGCTGGTCTCTCTCTCTCTCTCTCTCTCTCCATGCCCTTATCTCTGGTGTTGCTGCTTCTCTGGATAGGGTTTCAATTCCGCTCATGCTCTTCTCCCTTGATGGTCCTAGGGTCCTCTGTGCCTGCACTGCAATGTAAGATTAACTACTCCCCCTTTTTGTTACAAAACTTCTACCTTTACTGTTAAGACACTCACAATTAGTAATGATGACAATTATTCACTACTGGATCATAAGAATCTTATCCCCATCTCCTTTCACTAGACCTGTCTAGACAAGATGAAAACTATTCAGTGAGGATTCCCCCTCACACTCTAAAACTAAAATCCCTCTTGAACACTTGTAAGCTAATCACTTCGTGTTTTGCACCATTTTAAGTAGTCAATGTTTAAGTTGCCTGTCCCTATCAACCCTGTACACAGAGATAGGATTGATACTTGATGTGAAGACTCTTTCCCTCTCAGTTGGTATTTTGAGCTACTACATTCATAAATATAGGTCAGGTTCATCAAATTGTAGCAATTACACTTCTTTCCTTTATCAAAAATTGTTTTTTAATCTTCCTCTAGTCGAGTTCTGATCATAAGCCATCAAGGCTAGGTTAAATGAGTACTATCTACAAGTTTGGGTGTTCTTGTGCATCTCTCCTCACTTCATATCAGCTGGATGCTTCACTCTCAGCTCTAGCCCTCTGTGGCTATGTCCTTGTCCATAGGCTCAGGAGTCCCCAAGTCTCACCACACTTCGGACCAACCAGCCCTTCCTCCTCTCTCTCTCATCTCCAGGTGGACGGGAATCTAATGGAATGTGGTTAAACTCAACCCATATCTTCATTACTGCCTTTCCTCCTCTTCCACTCATCAGCTGACCAACACAGTCACCAGCAATCTTACGTGCCTGCTCATGTGTTCCCTTTGCATTTCAGTCTTGGAGGGGGTTTGTCCTGAAGAGACTTGACTGCTTGCCTTGATAGCTCCCCAATGAAAAGCTTGCTTATTTATATAGTAGTCAATCAGACTTCCCTGGCAGCTTTGCAATGAGTTATCCTACGAACAGCTGCCTCTGGCGCATGCGGTGGGATAGCTTCACAGGTGAGATCCTTTAGCCCACCTCACTGCTACTGGGGCAATTTCAGACCTGAGAACACTGGCTTATCTTAGACAACTTTTCTGGCACATTCTCTGATAGCATTA